TAGGTGACATTTTTCCTAAGTTTTCCCTGGAAGAGGAACCCTCCACCCTCACCTTCTTCAAGGTTCTGCAGGGAGCCCTGCTGGGAGGCAACACCCCTTGGGAGCCCAAGAGACTGAATGCAGGCGTGGCTGCTGCCTTCTCCATTCCTTTGTTAAATATGCCTTCTCCTTCCAGCCACTGTCAGACCACGGGATGATGTGGCCCACAAGCAGCTCTCAGCTTTTGGAGAGTATGTGGCTGAAATCCTGCCCAAGTATGTCCAACAAGTTCAGGTAATATTCACAACCGTTGTTTGGTCATGGGTCAAGAAAGAACCATGTTCTCGGGGTATGTAGGAGTAGGCAGCCTGGTATGAAAGAAACCAGTCTCTTCTACCCCACTTGGACTTTTTTTTCTGTCTTAAACCAGGAGACTCCATCTGAAGTTAGCTGCTCTCTCAATAGCTCTTTGTTCCTTCTTTTTTCCCTTTCTGTATTTGCAGGTGTCTTGCTTCAATGAGTTAGAGATCTGTATCCATCCTGATGGAGTCATCCCAGTGCTGACTTTCCTTAGGGATCACACCAATGCACAATTCAAATCCTTGGCTGACTTGACAGCAGTGGACATCCCTACTCGGCAGAATCGTTTTGAGGTCAGTCAGGAAATTTGAGAAGATTTGGTGGGTAAAGAAAAGGCTTGTGTGTCTTAGGGTGATAGCTACCAATGGGAACCATAGGCCTCCTTAGTTTTAGTTCAGGTCAAACAATACAACAATACAAACAATACCACACAGCAGTTAAACTAGGGCCTCAAATCAAGCAAACCTCAAGTTTGAATCCTAGCTCTGCCACTAATAGGCTCCGTGACTTCAGACATTTTGTTTAGTCTTTTTTTTTTTTTAAAGATTTTATTTATTTATTTGACAGAGAGAGAAACAGCGAGAGAGGGAACACAAGCAGGGGGAGTGGGAGAGGGAGAAGCAGGCTTCCCGCAGAGCAGGGAGCCTGATGCAGGGCTCGATCCCAGGACCCCGGGATCATGACCTGAGCCAAAGGCAGACACCCAACGACTGAGCCACCCAGTGCCCCTTGTTTAAGCTTAAGATTTTTTTTTTTAAGATTATTTATTTGTTTGAGAGAGTGCACACATGCACAAACGGGGTAGGGGCAGAAGGAGAGGGAGAAGCAGACTCCCTGCTGAGTGGGGAGCCTGATCCCAGGACCCTGAGATCACGAACCAAGCCAAAGTCAGATGCTTAACCTATCAAGCCACCCAGGTGCCCCTAAGCTTTAGATTTCTTATGTGCAAAATAAGCATAGAATTGTCCCTACCTCAAAGAGTGGTTGTGAGGATGAAATGAGATAGTACGGGTAGATTGCCAGCACATGGTATGTTCTTAATATGTTTAGCTATTGATTTTTACTAATCATCTATTTGCCAGATCTTGGGATCAAAGGAGAAGTAATACCCAATACCTGCCCTCAAGGAGTCCCCCCCCAACTCTAGTGAGGGAGAAGGACACATAAAGGGCTGACCGTGATAACATAATGCATGGGATGTTAGATGCTATGAGAACACAGGAGGGGCACTCAGTTCTGTTGGGAGGCTTTGAAGAGAGAGAGAAAGTTAGTGCTGAACCTTCATGGATGACCAAGAGACCAGGAATGAGCCCAGAAAGGATTGGGGCTGGCGGGGGTGGTGGAGGTCCAGTGTCATCCCAGACAAAGGGCATACCATGAGCAAAGATAAGCATGCTGACATGCTAAGCTATAGCATGGCTTAGGCCTTCAGAAGTAGTTGTAAATATAGGAGGATCTTGAGGTTTTTGAGCTTCAGGACAGAAGACACATTCACAGGTAGAATCCTAACCCCCACTGTATCCTCGTCATTGATGTTCTCATGCGGGGACTCCCACCCCAGACTCTGTGGCCATCTCGGTCCTCCAGTTCCTTCTGCTCTCCCTAGATTGTTTACAACCTGCTTTCTCTGCGCTTCAACTCTCGGATCCGTGTGAAGACCTATACAGATGAGCTGACACCCGTTGAGTCCACTGTTTCTGTGTACAAGGCAGCTAACTGGTATGAGAGGGAGGTAAGTTACTAGACATGTTACTAGATAGTAACTCTAGGCCCGAGTTGCAGAATTGGTTGAAACTATTGCATGCAGTGCATCCTCACCCCTGTGTTGGCCATGATGGACTAGCTGCCTGAGGGCCTTTTTTTTCTAGATCTGGGACATGTTTGGAGTTTTCTTTGCTAACCACCCTGACCTAAGAAGGATCTTGACAGACTATGGCTTTGAGGGACATCCTTTCCGGAAAGACTTTCCCCTGTCTGGCTACGTTGAGGTAGGACGAACCTTGAAACTGGGGCAGCAACCTCGGGGAAGGACTGGCAGGGAACATGGTCTGTGTATTGTGGTGGGTCTAAGAGCATAGCCTCAGGGCGGGGAGAACATAAGCTCTGGATTCAAATCCTAGCATCACTTTTGTAATCTGGGTCCTGTTACTTAATTTCTTTATGACGATTTTCTCAGCTGCAAAATGGTAACAATAGTACTTAACTAGTAAGATTTATGCTGAGCTAAATGATGTGTGGTTACAGCCTGGTGTCCTGTAAATACTCAGTTGACACCAGCCATTATCATAATGATCATTTTAATGACCAGGACGACCTTGAGGACACACTTCGTCTGTCCACAATATCTAAAAGCAGAGGACCATTTTACCCTGCCCTGGACCTCTGAGAAGGCACCTGACAGGGAAGACACTAAATGTTTAGCCCTTGAGAGTGGTCAGAGGCAGGATCAGTAATGTGTGACTACAAGGGCCTTATGAAGAATTCCAGTGCTTTGCTTTACCACCCTTGTGCTACAGGTTGTTCATGAGCAGGAAGATGGTCTACTGCATACGTAAACATGTGATTTTGTAGCAAAGTAACTTTTTAGAAATGCTGAGCTAGTAGCAATCCACCCTTTCTCTTCAGTACCCAAAGATGCCTGTTTTCTCAGTGTTTTGCATGGTCTCATTTGCTTCTCCAGCTACTTCTGGTTAGGGCTACTTCCCTCTCCTTGTTTTCGCTGTCTCCCTTACCTGGTTTGCCTCTTCACCCCACCACCTGTTTGTCTGTACCTTATCCGGCTGATCCTCCCACTAAGAAAAGCAATGCCAAATTTATTGCCTTGCATCTTGACAGTGATAATACCAAAGCCACATGGTCTGAACCTGAGTGCTTGCTAGTTTAGGTTCACTCTTTTCAGCCACTGACTTGCTTCCTAATCCTGGGCTGATGCTTACCATTTCCTTATAAGAGTGGATGGGTGAGCAAAGTCCGTGGTGCTGGAAAAGTTGCTCAGAGCTTATGATGTGGGGATGGTGAGCAGGGGAGCCTCGCTGGGTGATAGCAGGCCATTTTGGACTAAGGGTGGGATGTGACTTGATCGGTAATACTGAAGTGCATGGAGACTTGCTGACAGAGGCTGGAATAGCACTCAAGGACAAAGAAGTAATGCAGTTGGTGAAGTCACCCATGCCCTTGGGAACATAGGCTCCTTAGCGGCTCAGTAGCTCTGAACAACGTCTTCCTCAGTGCTTAAACCTGTCTTTCTCTTCTGCAGTTACGCTATGACGATGAGGTGAAGCGGGTGGTGGCTGAGCCGGTGGAGTTGGCCCAGGAGTTCCGCAAGTTTGACCTGAACAGCCCATGGGAGGCTTTCCCTGCCTATCGCCAGCCCCCTGAGAGTCTCAAGCTTGAAGCAGGAGACAAGAAACCTGAAACCAAGTAGCTCCAAGGAAGGCATGTGGATACTAGAAAGCGTTTTATCTATAACTGAGCATCTCTGTAAATAAAATCCTTAGATGAATGAATTCTTGTGTGCTTACCGGTACAAGTGAAGCTTGACTTGGGAGAAGGTTTTTTTCCCCCCGTCCCTTAAAGAGAATACCAACCCAGGAGTCTCTTTTAGTACAGTTGCAGACATGGTGACCTGCAGGCCTGGATGTACTTCTGAGAGGGATTCTGGAGCTGAAACGGAAAGTTCTCACTGTCCACAGGGCTTAGGATGGGTGTGGCATGGCGTCTCCTGAAAACTGGAGGGCCCTCAACAACCGCAGGAGAAAACCCCTGGTCACAGCAGACTGGTTGCAGCTGATGGATCGAGGGGTCTAGGTGGAACCAGGGAACCCCCCCCACCCTCATCCCATCCAAGCATCCACAGGGTTCCACGAGCCACAGCTCAGTTTAGAGTCTTGAACCCTGCATCCTGGTCCCCGCTGTCTAACAGCTCATCACGCTTGGGCTAAGGTAATCTTCCTAGACTCCAGCCAGAGCTGAGAATGTTGTAAGCAAGCAAAGGAAGTCCCAGGGCTGCCGCAAAAGATACTCAGAAGCTGCAGATATGTCTTCTCAGAAGCGACAGGACTCCACCCTAACCAGCCTGGGGTCTGTATGGCACCCGAGGTGCAAGTGCTCAGCTCTGCTGGTCCATGGGGCCACACAGCCAGCCTGCCATGTAGTTGGAGAACCATTGCAATTCCAGAACCAAGCTTTGCAGCTGACGCTTTTGGCTGCTGAGGGGCTCCCTGGAGGCTGGGCTGGGCTGGACTGGGTGTTAGAGCCTGAGCTCAGCTGCAGGATGTTTTGGGGGTGAAGACAGATAGTAAGGTAGTGTTACTGCCTGGGCTCTTTCCTACTTCTTGGGAGGGCCAAGCTAGAGCTATTCGCTACCAAACACCATTTTTCTAGTAAGCAAGCATCCCGCCCATCTGGACAGGAACAGGCTGAGGGCTTGACAAGCAGGAAGCCAGACTCCTACTGCCAGCAACTAAAGATTCCATGTTTCCATGGGATGGAAAGGTCCTGGGAAGTCAGAGCCAACCCCTCCCTGTTTAGCACTGAAGGCTAAACACAAAATAGGGAACGCCTGAGCAGCCTGCAGTGGAAAGTTGGAGCCGTGGTGTGTGGCGGGTGGATGCAGGAGCAGAGAGCAGCCAGGGAGAGGAAGACTCAGGACGTGGTGGGGCATGGCTGGGACGATGCAGTTCCTGGCTTGGCTAATAGTAACCATTTGCCTTCTCCCTGGGGTGACTACAACCCAGCACCGTCCAGGTACCAGGGCTTTAGGGTGGCGTGGATGGGAGGCAAGGAATGCTGCTGGCTGATAGCAGCTAAAGTCGGTTCTATCTGAACCTAGCGGGGCGTAGGCACTGTGGGCATGGTACCAGATTAACCTATGCAACAGGGGTAATAGTCTGGGCTCCAACCCTGGAACCAGAAAGGCCCAAGTGAAGGGAGGTAGTTCCAGGTGCCCTCAATGCCAGCCGTGGACAGAGGTGGACAGTGGCCTTATTCTAGATGTGCAAAGCAGGACCTCTGGACCTGCCCTGGGCTTGGGACCGTCATTCTAAGGGCTGGGCAGCACACCAGAGTGTGAGATGAAGGAAGCTGCAGCAAACAACCTGCCGTGCCTGGCTTCCCTGCGTTTTGCATGATCACTACTGAGGAGCAAGGAAGGAGTCGATTTCTTCCTAAAGGGGTCCTTGACCCTTGGGGAGAGTCACTGGCACTGTTTTAGGTCACATTGTCCCAGATGATTATAGGGAGGGGAAGTGGGAAGTGAAGTGTCTTGTGACCCAGTGGTCGAGTTCTCTGCCAAGGGAACTGTAGAAGTTCAAGGAGGAGTCCTGGACATTTGCTGAGGTGGTATCTGGGTTTGGGATGATGATTTGGGGATCACAAGACCTATGCCTGGGAGGCTGAATGTCAATGTGCATGCGTGTGTGTATGTGTGTATGTGTAAGGGAAGGGGGACGTGGGATGGCATTCCTGCTCTTTTGTAGATAGAAGAACCTCTAGGCATTCCTACCAAATAGCTAAGGGGCACTTCTGGAAGGCTGGGGTATTCAGGGTGGAGCTTGGCAGGGGCCTGACTCCTTTCTGCTGCCCCAGGGCAGCCCATGGACGGCGCCAGCGTGGGAGGTGGCCTGCAGGAGCCAGAGGCCCCAGAAGTGATGTTTGAGGTCTTTCCTCCAGCCTTGGATATGGGGGAGGGAGTGTCCAGAGGTCCCTAAGCTTAGGGTTGGGAAGGGGGGGATGTCTCAAGCTAGCCCTGCTGGGTGGGGGGTGGGAGGGTAACCCAGCATGGGTCCTACTGCCTGCTTATGCCCTCCCTGGCCCACTCTTGTTCCCTGCCCTGCCCTCCCAGGCCCCAGCCCACCCCTTACATGGCTCCCCTTGCAGCTGCTCTGGGCTGGGCTGGAGCTGGATGTCATGGGGCAGCTGCATATCCAGGACGAGGAACTGGCATCCACACACCCAGGCCGCCGACTCAGTCTCCTCCTGCAGCAACACGTGCCCAGTGACTTGGAGGGTGCTAAGCAGCGGCTGCGGCGGTTCCAGGACCTGCGGAAAGGGCCTCCTCTTAGCCCTTGGGACTTTGAACATCTGCTCCTCACAGGCCTGTCCTGTGTCTACCGGCTCCATGAGGCTAGGGAGGCTGAAGAGAGGGGTCGCTGGGCTCAGGTCTTCGCCCTGCTGGCACAGGAAACACTCTGGGACCTGTGCAAGGGCTTCTGCCCCCAGGGGCAGCCCCTGTCTTTGGGGCCCTGGGCCTTGATCCTTGACCCCTTTCCCTGACTCTCCCCTTCCACCTGCCAACCCACCACTGCCCCCCAACTTGTGGCCCAAGCCAGACCCAGCCTGGGCAGTGGCTTTCATCTGGCACGTGGTCCTTCCCACTGTGTTCAGGTCTCTGGGCTTGGATTGTACCCTGAACCCAGTTTACCCCTGCCCCATTTTCTTCCCTGAGCCCTGGTAGGCTAAGAGCCTGGATCTCAGGACACAGACACAGAGCTAAAAGCAGGACTTGCAGGTATGTGTTGGGGTTAGGGTTGAGAAGTGGGTTCAAGGATGCTGAAAAGAAAGCTGCCCCCAAGGAAGGCCAAGTCTGACGCTCCAAGTCCTACCCTGGCAGTCTGTGACAAGTCCTGCGGAATCTATGGGAACCTTGTGAATGCCCAGCACCCAGTCCTAATTTACATACCCTTTTAAATCCCAACCAATGCTCTGGAGTCCTTGTGCCCCAAGTTCCCCATCTGGACTAGAATAGACTGGACATTTTTAGTCTGTTGGAGGAATGGAGGAAAGCAGGTGGAAGAACATTACCTTTCCTTGGCGGGGGTGGAGCGGGGTGGGGGGGGAGCAGGTTTTTTGGTCCATCTCAACAAGTCTCAGATGAACACCTCAGAGAGGAAGTGAGGCTGCGAGGGAAATGACTGGGAGAGACAAGCTGAGTCTGGCTGGTGTAGTCCTGGTCCTGTGTAGCTGCCCCATAAAATGTTTTGTTCTGGTCTGCAGCCTGTGTCCTTTTATGCCAAAGTAAGTTGTTTAACCCCTGCCCTGGGCGATTCACCCTCCCCGTTGTGGAAGGGCAGGAGTTGGAACAAGCAGGTTATCAGTGTCTCATCCCACACACACCCTGGTAGAAGAAAGAATGTTCTGTTTCCTTGAATCCCATATTCCCAGAAAGGGAGCAGGGTGTGGTCCCTTGTCACAAGAAAGAACCAGCTGGACCCTAAGCGACATGGTAGGTCAGTGGGAAGGAGGTAGAGGGGCTGACTAGAAAGTAACGTGAAGGGGAGTCCCGCAAGAGGTTGGTCGAGTCAGGTTCAGTTCAAACTCCCATCTCCTCGCCCTCCCAGGGCCTGACCAAATCCTGCCCTCGGCCCTCCGACCCCCACCCCCGGTCTGCAGTAGTCAGTGCCTTCCCGCCCCGCCCGAGACCACAGCGTCGCAGACAAGACAGAGCGCAGGACCCCAGGCAGACAGGCGCCGGCGCAGGCCCACTTTATTGGCAGGGTCAGCCGCACTGGGCGGGCCGTCATGCTCGCGCCGGCGGGGCGTTCTCGGCATGCACGCCCCGGGCCGCCGCTGGGCTCCTCTCCCCGGGCGGGGCTCAGAGCTCCGGGGGCCCGAGGCCCGGCGGGCCGGCGGGGGCGAGGTCGGGGTACACCAGGAAGCCGGAGAAGGTGATGTACTTGCCGTGGTTGCTGTAGGCGCCGTAGCCGTCGTGGTCGTGGCTGAGCAGCCAGACGGCGTCGCCGCGCCGCAGCGCCAGCATCACGCTCTGGCTCTGCATCTCGCGGCGCCGCGACGCGCCGTCGTCGTAAATCATGGCCTGCACCTCGTCGCGGTTCTTCATCAGCTTCACGGACAGCGTCTTGCGCGGCAGCTTGCCCAGCGTGAAGGAGAAGAAGTAGGCGCCCGGCAGGCGGCAGCGGAACACGCCGGCCGCCGCGTCGAAGTCGCCGCCGATGTTGACGAGCTCCGTGTCGAAGGCGAGCGGCCGGTGCCGCGGCCCCGGGCCCGCGTCCGAGCCCACCAGGCTGCGCGTGCGCGCCGCCGAGAAGGCCGAGCGCGGCTCGGGGGGCGCGGGCGGCCCGCGCGCAGGCGCGTCGGCGTCGGCGTACACCAGGTAGCCGCTGAAGGTGGCGCCCGGGGCGCCGAGCGCGTACTGCGGGGCGCCGTGCAGCCGCAGCCACACCGTGTCGCCGTAGTCGAGCTGCAGCATGGCGCTCTGGCTGGCGGCGCGCCGCGCGCCGGGCCGCCGCTGCTCGTCGAAGGCCAGCGCCTGCACCTCGTCGCGGTTGCGCACCAGCATCACCGACAGGCTCTTGTGCGGGGCCTTGCCAGCCGTGAAGGAGAAGAAGTAGGCGCCGGGCACGCGGCAGCGGAACTGGCCTGTGGCCTCGTCGAAGTCGCCGCCGATGTTCACGTACACCTTGTCGAAGGTCACCGCCATCTCCGCTGTGCCCTCCAGGGGGGTGGTGCGTGCGGCCGAGAAGGCCGAGCGCAGCTCCGTCGAGCCCGGAGCCGGCCCCAGGGCCCGGCCGGCGGCAGGGCCCAGCAGGCCCAGCAGGAGCAGCAGCATGGCGCCTGGGAGGGGAGGCAGAAGGGGAAGGAGAGGGGGCTGTGCCAGGGGCGGCCCCCAGATGCCCCGAGTTCCGAGACTGGGAGACGCGTTACTTTCACAGCCCTGCCCCTGACCCACAAATAGGACTCGGTTTCCTACACACTTGGACTAGGTCAGCGGTCCTCAAGCTTCAGCGGGCCTCAGTGTCATATAGAGGGCTTGCTGGAACACACGCTGTTGGGCCCCCGCCCCCAGAGTTTCCATTCATTTGGTTTAGGAGGAGGCTTGAGAGTTTGCATTTCTAACAAATTCCAGGTAATGCAGACGCTGCTGGGCCAGGGACCACACTTTGAGAACCAGAAGATTAGGCCAGTGAGTCTCCTTTTTTTGTAAGAAACGAACCCCCTTCTCAAGTGAAAGCTCACACACCTATACCACAGATACAAGCAGAAATGCTTTGGTGGAAGGGGCCGATATAGCCTGTCGCTGGGCTTCCCCCCCTCCCCACCTTGGCACCACAGAAGGTGGTCAGGGCGTCTGAGTTTCTTTCAGCCTGGTTTGCTGAATTTTCCTGTGGCTATTCTATGGACCTTGGCCTGCCCCTCACTCAGGCACTAGTTCTCTGTACCATGGCCACTCTTTCAGCCCCCATATGGACAGGAAAGGAAATAGCTGCTCATTGACCCCTTTCCTGGCCTTTGACCCACAAGGGTCAGCCGCCAGTCTGGACCTCTGGACTCCCCTGGGGCCCTTCTTGCAGTAAAGAGGCCAGAACAGTTGGGCTTTGACATAGCTCCCTCCCTGTGAAATCACAGTAAGAGACAGTGACTCTTTCCTCTGGGCTTGAGGGCTGGTCACTGAGCAGAAGGAGAGAACCAGGGGCTCCTGTGAATAGAGGAGAGCAACAGTTGCAGCAAGGCTTTGGCAAGACTGTGAGGTCAGCAGCTTTGTTCCTCAGTAGTGGTGGAGTGAAAGACTGGCAGCTCGACCTGGGCTCATTTCCTGGCTCTACCACTTAAATGCTGTGAAACCTTAGGCAAATTCCTTAACTTCTCTGGGCATGGCTTCTTTTATGTAAATGGGGAGACCTGCCCCAGTCTTACTGTGAGGATGCTCTGAGATAGCAGGTGCAAACACCATTTGTGAATAGAAGTGTTGCCCAGGTGTGCAGATGCTTCTCTTCTTGGCCTTGAGAAAAGTGATCTGATAGAGTTCTTGACATAAGGAGTTAGGGACTCAGTAACTCTTACCCCTGGGAGCTTGTGAAAGCAATGCTTAACTCCATCATGCTTCTTAGTAGGGCATAGGCTTTGGGGCTTGAATACCCAAAGGCCCTGAAGTGGAGACAAAGTAGGAAAGAAAATGAGCTGGCAACAGCCTGGATATGGGCTTCTCTGGGAAGGACCCTGGGAGTGTGTGTAGCTCTGTGTCTCTTAGAGACACTGGGGGCTTGCTGAGAAGGGCTGCCAGGGGCAGATGCACCCTACACAAGGACATTCACCTTAGGGTAGGTGGGCACTGGAATCTAGCTCACGTTCTACTTGCCCCACAGTGTGGAGCTACTGCACCTGGGGAAAGTGTGCCTTTTTCTAATTTTCATAATAAAGACCCCAAGTCCCTAACCCAGCTGAACCTTCTCTCCCTCCAGAGGAGGGACCTTTTGTAATTCCTACAAAGGCACCCCATGGGCTAGCCAATACCCTTGATGAGGGCAGGGGGGAAGGAGGGGACCCATCTACAGTGATGAAGATTGCACCTCCTGAGTATTCCCTTTCATTAAGCTCTTTGGACACATCTGGTCTCCCGGCAAACCTTCCAGACAGCTGGGCCCTCTCCCACTTTATAGATGAGAAAGTCAAGGCCCAAACAGGGGAAGCATTTTGGCCCAAGGTAATCATGCACACTGAGGCAACCTTGAACCAAGGTCTTTTGATTCCAGATTCAGTACACCCTCCTCTCCCCCATCTATTCCTCATAGACACAGATATTTCCAGCCAACCTGTCCTTAGCCTCAGTTTCCCTTTTTTGCAAAAATAGGAGGGGAGATAAGTGGAATGAATCTTGGGATCCAGGGTGAAAGAGAAAGAAAGCAAAAAGCAAATAAAACCAATGAAACAAGAACTCTAGCGTTTTGCCTTATAGGAGTATGGGAACATCTCAGCTCTTTCCGACCCTGCTCCTCTCCCTAGCAGGTCCTGCCCCAGGAGCACCTGCCCACCCTACCTTCAGCAATCTCGCTGCAGAGTCTGGTGCACCCCACGAGGGCCAGAGGGTCCTCCGTGTGTTCAGTACCCAGCCTCTGCCCATTTCTCACCCAGCACTGCCATTTCCCAGATCCCTAAGTCCCCATCCTTCCTTAAACCCCCTTCCCTGGTCAGGTCAGAGGTGGGAGGGTGTCAGGTGGGCCTCATAGCTCCGAGAAAGGAAATGGCTGTTCCTAGCTCTGTCCAGGTGGGGCTCAAAATAGTCATCTTCAAAGAGACAAAACTGGGACACGGAGACCTAGGCAGACCCAGAGCCCCGGAACCGACGCGGGAGGTGCCGCGCTGTCAGGCGAAGGCGATCTCGGAGCCCCGCTCCCCGCCAAACCGCACTCCCCAAGTACCCCCTCCTTCAAGCCTCGCCGGAGCCTCCTTCCCACCCTGAAAGCCCCTCATGTTCCCAAGAAGAGAAGTCCCCGTTTTACAGAAGCCAGTTAACCCTTCCTCCTGAAAAAAGAAATCCC